AAATACAAATGTATTTCTTAAATAGCTACAATTTATTTGACATACATATTGGAATGAATACAAACTAATAAAGGTATGTCAACTGAATGATTTTTTTTTAATTTGTATTTATTCTAAATGTATTTCAACTAGTCATGTATTTTATTTAAGAATGAGTACACCAAATATTCAATTATTTCTTTTCAATTTTATATTTCATTCACTTTTTCGTCATACTAATTTTTTGTATTTTATATATTATTATACAAAATTCTAAATAAAAACTAGAATAAATAGAAATACAAATAAAATACATATTGAAATGAATACATATAGGATTTTTGAAGAAAAAAATAACTATATAGGGAAAAAATATATAAAAATACAAATATATTTCTTAAATGACTATATAGATAAATTCGGCATACCTATTGGAATGAATACAAACTAATAAAAAACTATAATAAATAGAAGAATATATTGTGGAATGAATATAATTTTAAAAAAGTAAAAGTTCTGGAGAAAAAAAACAAAATTTAAATTTTATTTGAAAATATAACTGATGAGAAAATTAAGGATGCTTGCCTTTTTTTAAAATATTCCCCCCCTTAATTTTCTCCTTTTTGTTATTAAATAATTATATTCTTTAAATAAAAATAAATAATAAAAACATACATAACAAACTAAAATGACATTTTTACGAAGTTGTTGCTAATGAGTCCTCTTAAATGCTAAAATATTGACATTTTGAAAAATTTCCCATAAGAAAATGGCAGTTACAATCTTCTACTATTTTTTTTTTTAAGAAAAGGTAAAAACAAAAACTATAGTTCAACAAACTTGATAAAATAATTAAAATAAGCATCTTATTTTTTTTAAAACAATTATATTATTTTTGTATTATTACAAATTTAATGAAAAATTATTTAAATTGATTAAGTGACTTTCTAAGTAAAATATGAATAGCTGAGTGACTTTTATAGTAAAACACCAGTAATTGAGTGATTTTTCAATTATAAAATAAAGTTAAGTGACTTTCTAAGTGAATAACTCAAAATTGACTGACTTTTTAAGTGAGATATTAACTCAACAAACATGTTAAAACAAAATTTTCTTTTATACAATTCAAATATATTGATAGATATTTATTTTAGTAATAATAAACACAGGAATATCGATTTTATGATTCATTATGATATTCTTCTCCTTGCTAGGATAAATCATTAAATATAATTTAAGAAATCTTTGCAAGATTGTGTTTTTTATTCAAATTGCAATTAGTCATGAAAAAATATTTTGTTTATCACACTTCCTCTCGATCTTTTATTTAATTTTTTGGTCTTAAAAGAAGCAATTATCAGTATTGAAATCAACAAGCCTGTGTTTGCCAAAGAAAGTTTCCAGGTAAACACCCACCTTAAAAAGCAACAAGTTACATTAACAAAATAAAGTGGTAATATTAGTTAAATATATGTTCATAGCAGATTTGCTTTTGTAGTTAGTGGAATTACATCCATCAATTCCGCTCCATATTGTCTCCGTTGGGGACATTAATTCCCGTTGACATACTATCGTAATAAAGATTTTAGCGTTTAAATTTTATGTACAATGAAATTTTAGTGATAACGCATCAAAGCTAAATTTAAGCTATTTCAACATTAAAGATATCAAAAATAAAAATAATACCTCAATATTCCATGAGTTAAAAAAAATGAATTACTCCACTTGAATTATGTTGTAAACATCAAGTAAATAAATCACATCTGAACAAAGATCAAGCTACAGGAAATTATTGAATTTCAAACTGAGTAATTTAAAACATGTGAACATTCCATTTCATTGCGTTACAATTTTTTTAAAAAAATAATGGCAAAATTTCATCACAACTATATACTATACTTGGACTACATTTTTTTTTGTTTGAATAATTATCCCAAAGGAAAAAAAAAACAAAACCAAAAACTCCCATGAAAGCAGAAATTTATACATGCAATAAAAGCATATACATTCTTCATAGCTCCCAATCTTCTTCATCCAATTTACAACACTGAAACTTTCAGCTGATAGTTCCTGCGTCATTGTTGTTATTGCATCGGCCACGATCTCCGCCATATGCATAAAATTCCCAATAGAAATATATATATATATATATATATATTTATATACTAGCAACCAGAGATCAGAGAGAGCTCGCGCTTAAGCACCACCAGGTGAAGATTGCCTCATCAAATCCCTATAGAATTTCGAAATAAATTTCTCAGCAGCCTCATCAACTTGACTATCTTCTTCAACATCTTTCAGCGGAAACGGCGAGTCGGTAATCCTCAACTGCCTCACCGTCGGAGTCCTTCCGAATCCAGGCAGATTATTCGCCGGCGACGCATTAGTACTCTGAATCATTTCCAAAGCCTTCATCATAGCAGCATTCATCACAACAACGTCGTCGTCCGCGGTGGCCGGAGCGTGTGCACACGGAAAGAGATGAGCGTGGTGCTTGCCGCGCTTGTTGAAGTGGAACGGAAGGTGAAAAGCTGGGTACGCTGGGCTGTTACTGCAACTGAATTCGTACTCGCTGGATGGAGCGCGTGCACACACGGACTCAGGAGTTGAAGAAGAAGCTGATGAGGAAGACGATGAAGAGAATTGGTGCGCGTGGTGAAACATGAGATTGTGAAATGCGGCTTTACTAGCGATTTTTCCACGCTTCATGAGTAAGTTGAAATCGAGCATGAATTTTCTCTTTGAGATCCTTTTCTCAACATGAAGAAAGCTATTCGCACTATGTTCCAGAATTTCTTTGCTATTACTGGCAAATTTTGCTCCATTTTTTTTTTCTTCTCAACTAAATTCTTATTTATTCGAGAATTGTTTGATTTGGTTTCTAAATGAGAAAGATGGAATTTGTGATTAGATCTTTTGAAAGAGAAGAAATGTTTTTTTGATTTGTTGGAATGGAAAAAGTGTGAACGTATGAAGGGGTATTTATAGTGTGATTCCGTAGAGGAACACGACGCACTGAAGTACTTGAATTTCTTTTTAAGGGTTTTTGTTAAAAAAATTTCGTTTCGTATCCGGAGCCCATACAAGAGCTTCGATTAAATTTAAATTTCATATTATAAGTGACTATTTGATAGCGATACTCTCAAGATAATTTTTTTTATATTCTAACTCAAATTCAAAATCTCGATCATTTTTTATATTCTAACTCAAATTCAAAATCTCTGATCGAGAGTGAAACACTCTCATAAATAGCCATATTAATTTTTTTAAAAAAGGTTAATACTCCTCCCTATTATTCATAATTAAGAAACTAAGATAAATGTAATATTGTTTTTATCATTTTAACCTTATAATTCAATATTTTTAGAAACATCAACAAATTTATGAAGTTCTTAAGAAATTGACTCTATTTTATATATCATTTTTGAATTATAAAATTCAAATTAATCTATATTTAATTTAAATGTATATTTATTTAGTTCTAATTGTCACTTATTAAAATTTATAATATTTTTTTACGTAGTTTACAAATACAGAGACTCCTTAAGCGATAATGAGGCGAGAGAGTACTAATTTATTTGTGATAGGAATTCTGTGTGCTTTATTGTTAAGTTAAAGTGACACATTGAGGCGGTCCACAATATATATTCAATATTTAATTAGCTCAATTATTATTATGGGAAGTAGTGATTGGTCATGGACTTGTTTAAGAAGAGTTTTAAGTCCTTAAGTATATGATAATGATTAAATTACTATATTTACTCCGATTATAATTGTCACACTTTCTCTACATTTGGAATAGAAAAATATAAATGTCCCTTTCTCATTTAATCGACTTATTTTGTTTTGCAATATTTTCTCTAAGTAGTATTAAGCTGAAACTGGAACATGATTAATTTCATTATTTGAACTTATTAATTTTGGTATGGGGAAATATAATTAAATTATAAAAACTATGAAGCTATTAAAAATATATGATAAACTTTTTATTACTTTACTATTACTATATATACTATCTAATAAAAGAGAAAAACTAGAGGAGCGTCGAGTCAAAAGGGCATTTTCGGATTTTAAAAGCCACAGAGGAATTTGGGCTTGAGGTAGCTCCCATACATGATAGATAACTTAATAAGATGTTGACCAATTTGCCCTTTAGCCTACACTTTTTTGTAGGTTACTTAAGGCGTGTCATATTTACGCTTTATGTTTTTGTATTTATTTTTTATTTTATTATAACAGAAGAGTGAATATAGGAACTTGAAGTTACTTGGTCCATTAATTTATTTACCCTTATGCTTCAATTTCCTTCTATTTATATTTAGTGTTTTTTGTTTCAATTTATTACTTTTATTTTTTGTTTTAATATGTGATGCGTGATACTATAAAATAACTAATCGTAATAATAAATAACTCTAAATATTTATAAAAAATAATATGTTAAATTTTTTAATTGACCTCAAAATTATATTCATATAAATAAAGTGTAACAAAAAAAAGCTAATATATATTATGTTAGACTTTTATAAGTCATAATGCTTAACAATTTAGAAACTTTAAATCCATTTTATAAATTTAATGGTCTTTCAAAATTTCGCATGTCAAAAATAAACTCAAGATTTCTTATTTAAACAATTAATATTTTTCTTCGATAAGCATTTCTCAGCCAAAAAGCCAAAGAGGGAATTTTTTTAACGCATACAACAACAAGATAAATTATTGATGTTTGTCTTTTGTGATTTGTTAAACGCAATACATGAAATTTTGTGCATAAATTGAGTGACATAAATTACTCCACTTCACAAAAGTTTAACAAGTTAAAATATTAAAATAAGTTAACGCTCCTGATTTCGATCATGCCACATAAATTGAGACAAAAATAACTTAATATATTTGTGTTCTTGTAGTTGATTCATAAATGTTTATATTTATATTTAATAGATCAAAAAAACATTTTTATCCTAATAAATATATTAGTATTTCTTGAAGAGCCATATAATCAATAAATAAGTTATTTTATAACGTACTTCCATTTTTTTCAAATTACAGATCTGGTTTTATTTATTATGATCAGTTCATCACGTATTATATATCTCAAATGATGATAATTTATTAATTAATAGGTTGATAATAAAGATAGACCTAATGTTAATTAAATTACCCGTACAGTTGGTACAAGTTGGATATTTTCCGTATGATATTTATAAGTACACATTAAAAGGTAATCTGAAATTGATTTTTTTTTTAAGTAGAAAAAGAGAAATAAAGAATTTAAATATAGTATTTGGATAAATTTGTCTTTTCTCACTGTCGTCTAGTTTCCAAAACCCTAAAAAAAAATAGTACAACTTTGAGCCGTTTGAGAAAATTAAAAAAAAAAAAACAGATTTCTTAGGAAGAGAGGTTTTCCCAAAACACGTGGACTTTCCTGTCAAAGAAAGGAAAGAACCTCTTTCCTAATTTACCTAACCCAAGAAAAACCCTCTTTTTTTTGTCCAAATTATCTTTTTGTGAAGGAAATCATTAAAATCAAAATTATTTTAAATAGTTAATGTAATTTGACATATATTAGATATTTGGAATAATATTTGGAAAAAAATTTGCAAATAATGTTTGTCCATACAATTTGCCATTATTTGGCAAATATTTTTGATAAATATTTCAAATTTTTAAATACTAGTTTTTTCTAGTTTTTGGGCAAATCTCATTATTTGAGATTTTTTGAAAATTTAAATTTACCGCAAACTTTTATCTTTTACAAAAACACCCTTTATAATAGTTGTTTGCGTTGTATGACATAATTTTTTGTTTTAACACCAAAGTAGTGATGAAATATTTAGTCAATATTAAATGATGATATGGTTATTGATGAGTAATTGGTTCAAGGTAACAAAGTCATGTGTTATGTCTACCTCACGATTTATTGAATGATACTTGTTGTACTCAGTCCAACAATCACATTGCTCTAGTGTCATAGACACCATTTGTTATTGTTGCAATGAACATCCAATTGACTTGTAATACAAACTTATAGTTATTTTTGATAGTTTTTAATACTTATGGGTATATATCATATTTTTCTAAAAAGGTGAAATATATTTCTAAATACTATGGTCAAACACATGGTAAAATTTCACTCAAATTTTCACTCGAATAATATTTGCCAAGAATATTTATAAATTTATTGCCAAACGCTATCTTAGAATTTAGATAACAATTTGATGGTTCCTAACAGTATAAATTCAGAATTTTGTACATGTTTACTAGCTATTTATATTTGATTGATGAAAAATTCACACCTTGCCTTGTTTATATATTCGAAGAAATATATAAACAGAGTATTTAAAAATTATAAATATATTATATATATTTACCCTATTTATAAATTTACATGCGAAAAATACAAACGAGCGAAAATAGATAAACCATAGTCTCTATAATAACTTTAGTTATGATGTGTAATTATTGAAACTATAGTTTAGTGTCTTATTATGTCTTATAATATTTGTAAATTATAAAATTTTGTTTTTCTTAAATTATGTTTAATACTTAATAATTTTTATCCTTTTTCGTTTCATTTTATTGTCTGGGATAGGTGTGAATGTTCAACTGTTCATATTAAATATGAAAATTTCAAAAGTATACGCTAAAATTTCAACTTAAATCCAGCATAAATAATCTCAATCGAATGATTTTGTAAAGTTCGATCTTAGATTAATAATTCTGACTTTCGAGTTTTTAAAGACAAGTTCTAACAATTTCAATTCATCTAATAAATTACTCCTTAAATTATATATAACTTTCTAAAATTTACTAGAATCGATGTCGTCCTCTCTCTATGCTGTGTATCACGTAATAATTTTCATTTTTATCTAAATTCATAATAAAGAAAACACAATATAAGAGATTGACAATTAAAATATTTTACGTTAATATATGAAATTATATAATGTAGCACAAAATTCATCAGGAGGAACTCATTTAGTTGATTAGGCAAATACTACATCCAACCAAGAGTGATATTTATTAAGGGATATGATAAGATGCATATACATGTAAATATTATTGGGTTTTATTTGCCCTGATTTCTTACCATAAATAAATTTTCCTTTTAGGAAAAGGTTTTGAATTGACTAATCCTTTTCTTGTAGGAAAAGGTTTAGGACTCTATAAATAGAGGAATATTCCTTCTAACTTAATCAACATTCACAATGTAGTCTTAAAGGCTTTGAGAGTTTTGGTTAGAGGGAGAATTTATGGGTCACAAGCTTGATAGGCTATCACTTGTGTGAACCTCCCATGTATTCTGAGTGAATTGGTTGAGGTAGTTTCTCTCTGTATTTTGTACTCTCATATTTATAGTGGATTGCTCATCTCCTTTGTGGACGTAGGTCGATTGACCGAACCACGTTAAATCTTTGTGTCTTTTGGTATATTTCTCGTTGTCTTCTTACTCATGGTCTTTCGAGGTTTGCTTTGCTAGCTTTTGCATTTACACTTGCTTTCAGTGGTTCGATAATCGATGATTGAACCAGGTTAGAAAGATGTGTTCATCTTGGCGGTGTAGTTATAGCAGTAACCTTTTTGACAGTAATGAAGATTTTGTTGGAGAAATTGTTTCAGAGAGATTCTTTGTGTTGAGACATAAATTTTGCAAAGAAGATTATGGAGAGGAGAAGCAAGTTGTTGAAGATTAACTCAAGAAGGTGGACAAATTTATTTTGTCAGAAATTCAGGCCAAGGGGGAGATTTGTTGGGTTTTATTTGCCCTAAATTTCTTACCATAAATAGGTTTTCCTTGTAGAAAAAGGTTTTGGATTGACTAATCGTTTTCTTGTAGGAAAAGGTTTAGGCCTCTATAAATAGAGGCATGTTCCTTCTAATTTAATCAGCATTCACGATGTAGTCTTAAAGGCTTTGAGAGTTTTGGTTAGAGGGAGAATTTATGGGTCACAAGCTTGATAGGCT